CTCTCTCTCTCTCTCTCTCTCTCTCTCTCTCTCTCTCTCTCTCTCTCTCTCTCTCTCTCTCTCTCTCTCCCCCCCCTCCCTCCTCCCTTGTATCGCTCTGTCACGATCTGTCTCACAGTCCTAAGGTACTACGCCCTGGATACATCCACCCTAACTCGCCTCCTACTACAGCAGCTATGGCTGCTGTCTTCCCCAAATTGAAACCCCAGCTATGGCTTCCCGTTGCACCTCCTGCAACCTCCAGGCGCCTCTGCCCAAGTCGCTAAGTCGCACAAGCAGGCAGCAGTGCTTCCCCAATTCGCGAATGAACAAGTGACCGTCGTGCTGCACTGTAGCAGCTTTTAGTAGAAGCTTTGACTTGTCTTGGACTGCTTCCTGCCGGTACGGGTTGCCGGCGGCGTGTCTGCTGCATGATTGTTGTTGATCCGGTAATGTTGCGGACTTTCTTGGGACCGTGCTGCAAAATTGGACTTTGGGACTGGACTTGTCTTGTCGGGTATCGGCCTGACTTCTACCTACCTGACTCTTCGTCTACGGGCACGACTACTACCTATGATGCTTCGGTCTGCACCCTACCGGACTCTACAGACTCTAGCCTGGGACTCGGCCTACTGGGACCTAGTGTGACCGGGACCCTGGGCTTTTTGCATCGTGAAGGCTCAGAAACGATGTGCAAGGATGATAGCTTCGCGAATTGTGCAAGGTAGTCAACCAGACATAGGAGCTCGCTGAGATTTTGAGTGAAGCGTCAAAGGCAATATAGAGTACTGGGTGGCACATGTGAATGATTGTATAGCATGTGAAATTGTGAGTGCAAAGTTGACCTTACAGAAATCGTGAATAGGTGCAAGATTGGGCAGTTAAAACGACTAAGGTGAGCAGGTCCGTGCACAATGCCCACTGACCTTACCCCCCAGCACCAAAGTTGTAGCCTGCAATTGCTGCTATGTTATGTTAAAGTACAGTACTAGCAAGGTAATCGATACTGCACACTACTATTACATGCTCTAATGAATACTAGTCGAAGCAAGCTGTGAGACTTGGAAGTGGAAAAGCCAAAAGAAATCAGCATGAAATGAATACTCGTGCCCCAGTCCTCCATCTCGTGTGCAGTCCGAGTCCTCCATCTCGTGTGCAGTCCTCCATACTGTGTGCAGTCTGATGGCCACAGGTAATTAGGCTCACAAGAATGATTACTTGTGCTCCAGTCCTCCAGTCCTCCATCTTGCATGAAACCAGCATGAAATGAATACTCGTGCTCCAGTCCTCCGTCTCATGTCAGTTTTTGAATGATTCAGTGGTGTTGATATGTTGGCTGAACTCAGCTCTGATGCTGTTTGTTACTCTGTCACCTGTCTGCTGTGCAGTATGGAGAGTAGACTGTTTGCGCACATCAGGTGAACTCGTTACCATGCTGTTATGGCTTCTCCACATGCCCACGACCTCTCACACTGAAAAGCTCTGTGTTTGGATTCTTTCCCTGCTCAACTGGACCAGATCAGATACAACGCTGGCTTATTGGACACAAGTTCTCTGTTCGGCCATTTTTGGAATTGGTTGTCACCCCATCCATCCCTGTGCGCATTGTCTTTTCCTTTCAAGCGCGTTGCAGTTTTGAGCTGTTAGCTCATCATCTGGTCATTCTTCAATTGCACGCACGGATATGTAGGGATATCTCAGAGCTCAAAGTCACCGGTTTGTTTTCATCGCACTCGGAGAGACACAGGTGCCTTAGTTCCAATCAATTTTTGGTCATGACATGAAGTTGGTAGGTGTGTAAAGTAAGTTACATATCTACTTGTTTTCCCTGTGCACAGCAATGCCCCACATCTGTTTGTTTTCGCATCTATCGTCGTTCTCAAGGGTCTGACGAACTAGGAGTGTGTCAGCTTCTTTCATTTCCATCCCTGGATTTCCCATGGGACTGAACAAGGTGCAAGGAACAACCAGCAGCCAAGGCAGGGTCAGCAGGGGTATTGCATGCCTGGGAAGCTGATCTTGACTGGTGCAACACTGAGGAAGCCTCCTTTGTTTTGTTCTTCTTCCCACAAAGTAGGAGTCCGAACAAGATGGCGAACCTACTCCCAGCAAAGAACATGGTGCAGCCCCGGACATTGACTTTGCGGAAGAAGGATATTCTGAAGATTGATCGGGAAACTGCGATAACTACAATCAAGCCAAAGCTTATCGCTGGGCTTGTCGCGCTTATTGAGAGGGAAGAGGATCGAGCCCAGTTTTTGACGTTCTGTCGAAGAGTTGACTCCACTGTGAGAGCGTGGTACATGCGTCAGTTTGATGAACTCATGCAACTTCATGCACTTCTCGACCCGGTCTCCGGTCCGGCAAGGTTGAAACAACAGCAGCTGACCCCTGCCCAAGTCGACAAGCTTGAGCAGAAGTTCTTAAAAAGCTTATTTGAAATGATGGAGAAGAGCAACTTCAAGATGATGACGACCGAGGAGGTGGAACTTGCAAACTCGGGAACCTATCTGCTTAACCTGCCAATCGCTGTTGACAAAAACAAGCTGGACAGGAGGCTTCTTTCCAGGTACTTTGCCAGCAATCCAACTGAGGAAGTCCCCAAATTTTCTGATATGTACGTTATCTTCCGTCGTGGAATTGGGATTGACCGGACGAGTGGGTTCTTCATAATGGAGAAAATTGATGCATTGGTAGCTCGCTTCTGGAACGATCTTCTATGCTTGCTTAGGTTGAGAAAGCCGCAAGACTTGACTTCCGAAGTGATCTCGGTAAAGAGCATCAAATCAAGCCGCAGCTCCCAATTTGATGCGGATGGAGGCAACGACTCTGTGGGTAGTCATAGCCGTTCTAGCTCAAGTGGCGAGTTAGAAGGAGGGCAGGGGCAAAGGCAAAGGCTAGCCGTCTCAGCTGCACCCCCAGCATCGGGACCAGAGACATCTCCGCTGTTACGAGTCGATGATCATCTGAGTAATGGCATGTCGTCTGTTAGTCTGCAACACAGGAAGGAGTCAAAGGTGGGTTTTAATTTTAATCTCAGACAAGCTGCGGATGCTGACGGGGAGATCCAGCCAGACGATGTGCTTGTCCCCAGCTTTGGCATTCCCGCCAGTGGAGGAGCAAGCTTGGAGGGTCAATATGATGGCGCTTCTTCGTCTGGGCAGCAGTTGGACGGAGCCGGAGCGTACGTCCATAGAGATGAGAGCACTGGGGATGCGCACTTATATGTCGAGCGGATACGGATTGAAAACATGCAGATCAACTTTCGGAACCTTTTCAGCCCGGTCACACTTCAGGAGCCAACTTTCGAGCGCGTCATTGTCGTTTACCGAAAGGCCACACCCAAAGAAGATGGGTCATTACTTGGAGATCGAGGTATACATATCAAGCACTTCTGCAACATCCCCCTGGCAGACATGGAAATTGTATTGCCAGAAAAGTGCAATCCCGGGCTAACTCCAAGCGACACGCTGAAGTTTATTGGGACGGCTTTGTTTGGGCTGGTGGCACTGATAAGCAGTGCCACATCGGGGGGAACAATCGAAGGTTCGATTGCTCTGGCTGTTCTTCTCGCCTTGGGGGCATATGGAGCAAAGGTGTACAGCTCATTTCAGGCTGCGCAGGCGGAGTATCAGAACCTCATCACGAGATCGTTGTATGACAAACAGCTTGACAGCGGCCGTGCCACTCTCCTTCTCCTGTGTGATGAAGTAATTCAGCAGGAGGTGAAGGAGGTGGTCCTAGCATTCTTTGTGCTCATGACTCAAGGAAAGGCGACATTGGAAGAGCTCGACGCACGGTGTGAGCAGATTCTAGAGGAACTGTTTCATGAAAGGACAGATTTTGACGCTGTTGACGCGTTGGACAAACTTGAGAAGTTGGGAATCGTGACTCAGGACTCGCTTGGAAGGTATGGACACATGTCTTTGAAACATGCGAATGATCTTATTGGAGTGACAACAGACGAACTTGTACTCTTGAAGGGCATGCGAGGTGCGGGACTGAAGGCGTCAAAGTCAGTGCGCTTCTAGATCGTGTGGCGTCCTGCTAAATGGGATGTTTTGTTGTTTCCCTCACCATTTAACACTGATGTGGAGCTCTACTGTAGGCCCAGTTTCTCACCTGGTGATTACGCTGTTGTTTGTAGATACCGCATAGGCCGCGGCTTTGTCAGGAGACCTTATTGGGCCGGCCGCACTTCCTTTTGTTATCAAGAGGACTCTGATGCCATGGCTTGATTGACAGAACCTGACGAAAGAAAGTAACACATCCATGCTTGCTTTCTGCCGTTGTTTGTGCACGGTTCTGAGGAGATTCCTAAGGAAGTTCCATAATCTCATTGTGAAATCAGCAAACGGTACTAAGTACGGTAAGTGAAACCCCCTGCAGCTTTTCCGGACAGCTTGTCCATATCGTTGTCAGTTTTTCATTCTCCTTCCCTTGGGCTGGCTTTGAATCGATGACGGACTTGCGTTGACTGAGCTCTCCTTCCACTGTGCAGATAGGAAGGATCTGCCTGAGAACTGTTGAAATGCAACTCTCACTTTGAATCCCAGTGAACTCGTAGGATCTGCCGACATCCACCTTAGTCATTTGTGAATTTGGGACCACTTTAGGCTCTTTCCTCGCTCTCGCTGCCGTAACCATCATCTCATTTAATAATTTGATTACAAACGATTGACTTGATTGCCGTTACCCCAATTAGCTTCTCACGTCTTCACAGTTGTTCACCTTCAGGACCCTGTTGTGTCCTCAAATTTCGATCGTCCACCAGTTTGGCCCACGATCCCTTTCAGCGTGTACAGAACTGTTGTCCCTTTGAGGCAGCCACCAATTGTAGTTTGCAGCTAGTGGCCCTGCGTCTGTAAAGATAAAATCGGCTTAGTTCGTTTGTTCATTTTTTCTCCGAGTGCTGTTGATCCTGTGCAGTCCAAGACAGTGCGAAGTTGTGAAACTGTCTTTGAATTTGGACCATTTCTGATTTATGCTTGTCATCCTTGCACAGGGGCCATGCTAATCGTCCGTCTCTGCATTGTTCAAATTTTGAAGGCTGTCCCGAAGGATTTTGGCAGGTGTGACAGAGGACTGCATTTTGGCAGGCGTGACAGTGGACGACATCGGGTGTGGCAGGGTATATGAGAGAGGGCTGCATCCACGTTTTTGCAGTCCTTGTCATAGAGGACTGCAGAGCAAGGCTCTGCAGTCTCTGCATTTTAGCAGATGTTACATAGGCTGTGCAGTTTCAGGCTGGAGTTGGTTCTTAACTGGCTGTCCAAGTTGTGTGCAGGCACTCAGCACGTGTTGTTTTGCAGGTTTTGCAGTGAGTGTGGCTTGCAGCGTCATTCAGAATGTATGGGAAAATTGGGGTCCGTTCGTTTTGCTCTTCGTGCCACCACAGGGTGTTCCATTTGTTCCTGGAACCAAGTGGGACTCTGTCTACACCTGGCAGCAGGTGGCAGGTTAATCACATCCGCACAGAAGTTCCGAGTCAGTCACTTCCTCATGCGACAAACCAGGTGGGCTCATTTTGTTCCTGGAAGCAGGTTGGACTCTACCTGTTTGAAGCCAGATGGGAGGTTTTTCTTTTGTTTTTCAAAGAGAAATGTGACGGGGTGGTGGGGCAGGGACTGCCGGGGGGTGCTGAACCACCAAGCGAAAGCACGACAGGGCCGTTGCAAGATGTCGCCCACAGGGAGGGGCGATCAATGCACAGGCCCTACAGAGACATCGGCCTGTGGACAGCCCTGGCTGCTTGGGGGGGGGGAATACTGTTCTGTGTGGCCACGGTGCTCCTCTCTCTCTCTCTCTCTCTCTCTCTCTCTCTCTCTCTCTCTCTCTCTCTCTCTCTCTCTCTCTCTCTCTCTCTCTCTCTCTCTCTCTCTCTCTCTCTCTCTTTCTCTCTCTCTCCCCCTCCCTCCCTCCCAAACACCTGGGGATAGTTATCATGTGTGATAAGCGACATGTATGGAAGATCTGTCGAATGATAGGGGAGGGGAGAGGGGAAGAGGACGAGACTCGTAGGAAGGGAGGCGAAGAGGAGGAGGTCGGGAGGAGAAGGACATCCTGGCCATCTATGTCCTGCATGCATCCATCAATGAACTGAGAGAACCTTTGGGGTAAGTCAATTAATCAATCAAGCAAGCAAGCAACAAACCAATCAATCAATCAATCAACCAGCCAACCAACCAACCAATCAATCAATCAATCCTTTCTCCTCTCCCGTGTTCTAATACGTGCATTCGAAATCCTATGGAAAGACTGCTCAACGAGCTGCTGACCTTACACCCAACTAGATCCGATCAGTCCTGGTCTATTCCTCCTCCGAATTTCTCGCATGCGTGCTTGGAGTCTAATTCATATTTCGTACAGTGCAAGAGTGTGCATAACTAAGTTAGCAGTTCCATATTTCGTACAGTGCAAGAGTCTGCATAACTAAGTTAGCAGTTCCGGTCTCACATGCACCTCTCTCTGTTCTCACCCTGCTTCTCATAAACCTCGTTTACACATTTTCAAAAAAATTATCATTCATGACTGCTTGCTTTCAAACAAGAGCTATATGTCAAATGATGGGGGATGGGGGGATGGAGGGTAGGGGAAGAAGACGGCAAGGAGGTCTGGAGGAGGAGGAGGTGGGAGGCGGGGGGGAAGCGGGAATGAAAGGAATGAGAGCGTCACACAAACAAACGTACTCCCCCAACAGCATTGACGATGATGATGATGATGATGAGGCGGAGGAGGATTATGGTGGAGATGATAACAGGCATCCTGCGATGACGTGTGTGAGTGTGCTTACTCTGTATTGTCTGGGGTGTGTTTGGTGGGAGCGTTTTTTTTTTTTTTTTTTGTGGGGGGGGGGGGTTTGAAAAAGAGTGAAAGGAATGAGAGCGTCACACAAACAAATGTACTCCCCCAACAGCATTGATGATGACGATGATGATGATGATGATGGTGAGGCGGAGGAGGTGGATTATGGTGGGGATGATGACAGTAATGATGACAGTGCGTCCAGCGATGATGCGTGTGATTGTGCTTACTCTGTGTTGTCTGTGCTGTGTTCGGGTAACAGCAGACGTATCGAGAGGCAACACGTCACGAAGCAACGCAACGTCTTCTGTGTATTTACATCTACCCCAACACAACCCTCTCTCACCCTGGCCCCTTCCCTCTTTCTTAAAAGAAGCACTGCTCCTCCTCCGATCCATTCCGTCCATCTCATTGTCACAAACCATCGATCCGTTACATCCATCTAATGGTCACAAACCATCAAACAGCCCAACAGGGTACATCAAACTACAGCAGTGGGCAACGGGAAGAAAAATCCATGCCAAACGAGTGGGAAAGGCAAGAGCAACATAACATAGCGAGTGGTCAACATTGCCTATCGCACATCAGAACAAGGCAGAGGGGAAAGAGGCATCAGAGGAATAAGGCATCCAATGGAGAAACACTCCCAAACCAAACACTGCTGCTGAAGACCAATCAATAGATGGGAGACAAAAATCCATGAATTTCAAAAATTTTCAATCAATTGATCAGTCGATGCACGGCGTGCATCATCAATCAAGCAATAAATTGCAACTAAAAAGTAGTGTCTGTTTTTCACTTTCCCCCCCCCCCCTCTATCCACCTCCCTGCGTAGATCAACCCATCAACGACCTTGGCGAGTGAGGGTTGGAGATCACAGAGTCGAGACGGCGGGGGAAGACAATCATCATGCTTTTTTTTTTCTTCTTCTGTTGTGGTTTCTTCTTCTGATGCTCTTCTGTTCTGTTTTTTTCCATAAAAAATAACTATAAGAGAACAAATCATGCATGGGTTTCACTTAATCAATCAATCAATCATCAGGGGCAAAGCGATATGTGGGGCGGAGCAGACAACGGTAAAAGAGCACAGAGATGCAGACAGACACGGCCAAGGAGGGGGAGAGGAAGAAGGACATGACACTTTGTGTGTGTCTGTACGTCCCCCTCCACGGAACTCCCCTTCGTGGTCGGCCAATCAACCAACCAACCAACCAACCAACCAACCAATCAATCAATCAATCCCAAAAACAAAAACAAAGATCAAGAACATGAAGTTGTGTATGCAACGGACGAGGATGTAACGGGAGGAGAACATCATAGATGGGAAGAGGAGGTGGTGAAAGATCACAGGGTAAACGACAAGAAGGTGCCTCGCTGATATACCCGCCAGTGTTTCCCACACCCGTATCTGTATTCAAATGTGGTCCCCAGAAGAGGATGTGGATTGTGAAGGAAGGAAGAGCAGCAAATGGATCATCAACAATGTCGTGTATGAGGATGTATCACCGGGAACACAAGCAGCATTTTTTGTGTGTATTTGTCCCCTCCTATAACAACTGGCTGGAATGAAAGAAACACTCACTTTTACCATTACCGATACAGTGTATGCAGTCCTTTTTTCTGTGGATGACGACACGCTACACCGTAGTCGCAGTGCGTCTTTTCTGTTCTCTGAGGTGTTTCCCTTTCTCTAACCCATATTTCTCCTCCGCTACATCCCAATGCAATTTCTAATAGCAGAAACTTTGCATGCTGCAGAGCAAAGAGCACAATTCGTGCATGGAGAACGGCATCGTCGTTACAAACAGATGCAGTCAGAAGATCCAACCACAAGTCAGTAATGCATGTCTCTATACTACCATACTTATTATGCAGCAAATTTTGCTTGACGTTGTCCTCGGAGACAGAACACCGTGCATGTACTGCACAGCACACAAATGGCAGCACAAAGTTCGCTTTGCTGTTAGAAAGGAATGGTCCAACCGCCTTTATGGGAATATCCTCACTCGGGAGATTGCTAGGATCACAAGCACAACAGTTTGATGCACTTGCACTTGCATCTCAGGTTGTTAGAGAAACCTTGTTACCTTTTTGTGGTTGGCCTGGGTTGCTGACAATTGAGGAAGAACTTGAACAAACCTTGAGCCTTTAATCTCGGAAGGAAATAATCAACCATCATTGACCCATAACACATGTATGTATACGTATGCATCTACGAGTACGTTCTGATGGCACGCTTCGTATGAGCGTGTTTGATAAAGCGGCTGCCTGGGATTGCCCTGCCATTCGCTATCCAAGTTCTGCCTCAACATCCCTTCCCATCGATCGGCAGGTGTGTTCACTGTAACAATTGGCAGGACTTTCGAACTGCGGCAACAACACTTACTCGTCCCATGGGCATTCCTCACGTACCCTTGCTAAAGGGTGGACCTGCTACATGTGATGCCGCCAACGGCACTATCCTATGCATGCCATCGCGTCTCTCTCAGTGGTTCCGACACATGTTGCGATGGTCCCTGCATCACCCATTTTCTTTTTTGCCCCCACGCCGCTCCCGTCCTGTCCCTGCTTGATCATCTGCTGCTACTGCAGTTTCCACTGCTGCAGCTCCTACTGCTGCAGTTTCCACTGTTGCGGTTTCCACTGCTGCAGTTTCTACAGCTCCGGTTTTCACTCCGGCAGTTTCTGCTATCGAAATTGCCTCTGCTCCAGTTCCTGCTGTACTTCCTCTGGTACTGTGGCTGGAATTTCCCTTGCTATAGTTTTTGCTGCTACAGCTTCCTCTGCCCCAGCTCCATCACAAAGAAACTCACAGTCTCTCCTCCACTCGCGTCCTATGTTTCAAAATCTTGCCCAATCCACCTCCCTTTCATCACTTTTTTTGTGCTTGACTGCAGACGGCTGCGTTCCTTTTCTCTAACCCCATCCCCTTCACGGTCCCATTTGAGAACAAATTCTTCAGTTTCCATCGTTCCCATTGTTCCGTCTTCATTGCTAGGGACATCCTCATCTTTTGTTTGCAACAACACCCCTCATCTTATTGTGTATCATCGACCACATGCACGAAATCGTCACTTGTCTACGGATCAGCAGCCTGTTTCTTTGTCTACCCCAGTTCTCCGTGTGCCTGCTCCACAGGTTGTTGCGGTTCCTTTGTTCCAAATTGCTACATCCACTCTCTCAACTCCAGGGACAGTCCCTACTCAGGATGCGGCCCCGAATGTCGAGGGATTGGAACATGATCTGCCCGGATTGCAGTAGACCCCATAAGGCATAGACCACATGGGGGATCTGCAAATAGCTAACCAGCATTGTTCGGATGAACCGCAAATATTTTTGCCCCGCCACGCGCAGACCACGTGGGTGATCTGCAAATGATTGACCAGCAAACAACCCAAGACAGTTTGGGCCTGCAACGTCATCTGGGTGATCTGCAAATTGTTGGCCAGCAGCCAATGCGCCAGTCTGAGAACCTCACCAATCTTTGTGGTATGACGGCAACTTATATCTTTCTTCACATTCTCCACCACCCATTTTATACACCGTCAGACTTCCTTGCAATCGCCCTTCAGCTTGATGTTGATCTTCCCCAACTACAGCCAGAGGATTGTAATTATTCTAGGGAAGGAGGCTTTATCATTGTTATCCTGCAAGTAACAATGAAGGACCGTCAACTTGAACTACGTAATGCTCGAGCAGGTGAATGGTTTAATCCTCCATCCCACATCTATGTCTGCATTGTGCACAAACCTGGCCATTATGTGGCCATTGTACATGCCTCTAAACACTGGGAGCTATGGGATAACGACACCATGGTCCATGCCATGACTAATGTTATTGATTTCTTACATAATGATGTTGTTTTCTTGCCACAACAGACCGTCCGCAATCTCTTTTATGTCGAAGATAATTCCTCTAGCCCCATGCTGCAACAAGACAATGTACTAACACTGTGCGACCTTCTCCTTTGCACAGCTACAAACACTGCTTCACTCGGTTGCAGCTGTCATTGTCTATGTCGAAGTCACTACAATAACATGGTGTTTGCGTCCATGTGTGCAAAGGACTGTCCCTCCATTCCTGACTGCAGGCACCCTCCGCATCCGGACAGTATATATTCATTTTGCGGCAATGGGCGCTATACTGAATGCATGGACTTTTGTGGTCACCATCCTTCCTTCATTTTGGTCTGCAATCGACATGCCATTTGTCGGGGGTGTACGGTGGGCATTCTCAATGTCAGTCGTCATGGCAATTGTTGTACTAAGAATGCAGCTAGGTCTTCCATGTGTTCATTCACCTCATCCTTACAATGCATGTCCTCTCTGTCGTCAAGGATAGACTCATTCTTGAGCCTTTCTTATCCTCTTTTGCTTGCATCTTCACTCTACAGTCCGTAATTTTTCTTACTTTTCGTTTATCATTCTTCGTGTGTCTTCTTTCCATCTCTTTTCACTGTGTTTATCCCTCCCCCTTCACTCTTCCTCGTTCTCATAGCGTACAAGTGGGTTGTTATGGCACACGGGGATGGGGGCAGCTCGCGCTCAACGTCATCAACGTGGCGAGTCTTATACTTGAGAGGCACAGTGTATGGGGAGTTGGAAAGAAGAATAAGAAATTGAACGGTTTCAATGTACCCTTGTTTTTTGTTTTGTTATCATTTTTTTTGCAAAGTGCGCTCTATGTGACAATATA